AAGGCAGTACATACCTTAGAACCCTACGACTGTATATATTGGATGTATATGGCTCAAAACATTCATTATTTCCAAGAATCTGGCTGGTTGAAGCAGTTGGCATTGGTGCTGAGAGAAGTGAATTCCTAACTCCATTCTCAGCTATCACATTCCTAAGAGCATCCCAATCCCACCGATTTGAAGGAGTTACATTCCACATATCAGGCTGAAGAATGCCCTGCAATTTAATGGCCAAGAAAGCAATTAGCATATGCATACCTTTTATTGCAAGCAGGAGTGCCTCAAAAATCCTTGAAATCTCTTGTTCATAAAATGGAATGAAGAAATAATACTCTAAACATACTAGAGGACTTCAGATGAGGCATTTATCATCAACATTATCCTTGTAATAACAGAATAGTAAATATTCAATCAATCTACTTTCTTGTGTTTTAGAGAGGGTTCAGCAGATCACAAACCTTGCTCACAGGACTCCCAACATATGTTTCATAGGGGCCATCTCTTGCAGCTAACTCACAAGAGGCTCTCAGAGCATGGTAATAAATGGTCTCAAAAATGTCCTTGTTCAGCTGTTGAGCCTGAAATCAACAGAAAACAAACAATTAGATCCAACTAATCCAAATAAAAAAGTTTAGCAAACCACATGCCCAGAATAAAAATTTACCTCTGGTGAGTCAAAGGCCATGCCAAGTAAGATAAAGGTATCTGCAAGCCCCTGAACTCCAATACCAATAGGCCTATGTCTTAAATTAGACCTCCTTGCAGTTTCAACAGGGTAGTAATTGACATCAATTATTTTGTTAAGATTTCTTGTAACAATTTCAGTGACCTGTAACAATAACAACGGAGAATGAAATCAAGTTAATGACTTAAGTATCCAACAAAAGAACTATTTTACCACAAAAACAAATGTTAATAACAAGTTCTAAGGAATCAACGCCACTAATACCTCAGCCAGTTTGTCAAAATCAAAATATCTATTCTTAGAACCTCTACTCCCAACAAGCTTAGATGGATGAGACTCGAGAGGAACCCCCTGAAGCATTCAAAAGAGTGACAAAGGTTAACCATGAACATCACTTAGGGCAACTGGGAAAAATGTGCATGCTATTCATGATTCATCACCCACCTTCTCCCTGACATATCTTGGCAGGGCAATAGATGCCAGATTACAGACAGCAGTCTCTGTTGGGCTTGTGTATTCAATTATCTCAGTACACAAATTTGATGACTTAATCGTGCCCAGATTTTTCTGGTTGCTTTTTCTGTTGCAAGTATCCTGAAAGGTAAAGTGAGGTCAAATCATAAGATTGAAACAAGGAATGAAGTAACACAATAAGAAATTTGGTATGTTCATATAAATCACCTTAAACAGCATGTAAGGGGTCCCAGTTTCTATCTGGGATTTCAAAATTTCAAACCAGAGGTTCTGTGCCTGGACAACCTTCTTTGCCTTGCCCTGAGTACAGAGAAAGAGATATGTTTAAAACTGATTGAATGACAAAATGCAAGCATTAAACCAAAGCACCAAAGTGTTTACCTCCTTTTCATATTGGGTGTATAGTTTCTCAAATTCTACACCCCAGCAATCTGCCAGACCAGGAGCCTCATTAGGACAGAATAAAGACCAGTGACCATCACTCTGGACTCTGTCCATGAAGAGATCAGGCACCCAAAGAGCATAAAATAGATCCCGAGCCCGATGCTCTTCCTAAAAAAAAAAAAAAGAAGAATTTAACACAATATAAATACAACATGAACTAATATATTAAAGAAAACAAACCAAAATTAGAGCATTGCATGAAAAACCTTTTGACTTGATAGAATGAGATATCCATACCTTTCCATGGTTCTTCCTTAGATCCAAAAACTCAAAAATATCTGCATGCCATGGCTCCAAATACACAGCAAAGGCACCTACATACATCATTAGCCATATTTTAAGAAATGACCATTAGAGCTTCAACAGGCAAAACACCATAACAAGAATTTACCCTTTCTCTTGCCCCCTCCTTGATCAACATAACGAGCAGTGTCATTGAAGACCCGCAGCATTGGAACAATACCATTAGATGTACCATTTGTTCCACGAATATAACTGCCTGTTGCTCGGATATTATGAACTGACACACCAATCCCTCCTGCTGATTTGCTGATTACAGCACACTCCTTCAATGTATCATATATTCCTTCAATGCTATCATCTTTCATGCAGATCAAGAAGCAGCTACTCAACTGTTAATGCAAGACACAGACCCATATAAGTATTTCCAAAGCATCATCATGCTTTACATAAAAAGCTACTGTGGTAGTAAAGAAACATACTTGAGGCCTTGGCGTCCCAGCATTGAAAAGGGTTGGAGAGGCATGAGTGAACCAACGCTGAGACATCATGTGGTATGTTTTGATGGCAGATTCAATATCATCCTTGTGAATGCCAACAGCAACCCTCATCAACATATGCTGAGGTCTTTCTACAACCTTCCCTTGAACTTTCAAAAGGTAGGACCTCTCAAGGGTTTTGAAGCCAAAGTAATCATAGTCAAAATCCCGGTCATATATGATCTCACTGTCCAAACAAGCAGAATTCTGAAAAAGAAAAAAAAAATTCACATGACTTTATTAAGAATTTAAGATAACAGATTTAGTGTGCAAAACTAATGACAATAAATAAATGAATGAATATCTCAACTCACAACTAAACAAGAACTAAACATTTCTAGAAATCAAATCTATGTAGATAAGGACTATACAACTCAAGAGATGATGAAAAGGAAAATTAATACAAACATTTGCATCGGAAATTAACAAACAAAAATGAAAAACAATACCCACTTTCTTGCTCTTGCTTTAAAAGATACACAGCATTTGTCATGGACTAATCATATATTATATAACTATAAAACTTCTAACTGCGTCACTTGTCACTTAAATAAACTCTCATACTACAACTATACCATGATTTTAAGAGTCTCATGAGATTCTAACACTATTAGAAAAACAAAGCATGATAATAATAATAATTATCTAAAAAGTGAAATAGAATACCCTATGCACAGCAACCAGAAGAAAACTGTAATGGTCTTAACTACAAGTAAGACTGGCTTTGTACAGATAATTACTTTTACAATTTTACCTTCATGATTATATCATAAACATCATCAGCAATCAAGGGAGCCTTCAATCCAGATCTCTCATTGAAATGATTATACATGTCTTTGACACTAAATCAAAGAAACACACAAATCAAGATAATTCACCAACCTCCCCAATTAAATTTAATTTCAAGAAGGTGTAAAAGGAAAATGAAAAACTGTAAGCACTTACGTTTCAGAGAACGACTTTTTTGTGTTCTTATGAAGATTTGAAACAGCAATTCTGGCAGCCAACTGCATAAACACGAGACAGTAACGCCATGGACTAGATCAAAGAACAAACCTTTTTCAAATAATCATCTAATATAACCCACGACAGTGTTATCAAATTAGACAACACCCATAACAGAAACAAATACCCGGGAAAGAAACTCACGCAGGCATAATCGGGGTGGTTTGCTGTCATAGCAGCGGCAGTCTCAGCGGCCAATTCATCAAGCTGGCTAGTGGTAACACCCTTGTAGACACCAGCGCACACCTTCTGAGCCACAAGCACCGGATCACAGTGATCACTGCTGAGGCCATAACTAAGCTTCTTCAACCTCGCAGTAATCTTATCGAAATGCACGGCCTCTTGCCTCCCATCTCTCTTGACCACATACATCTTGAAGATATAATCTCTCACAAAGGAATTTCGTCGAGCAGGTGATGGGCGCTTAGAAAAGAGAGAAGTAGGAGCAGGAATTATATAGGAAATGAGAATGGGTGGATTAGAGTTTCAAAATTAGGGTTTGGGGGCGCAAGTTGTGAGTTGAGTTTCCCTCTTATCTGATTTAAGGGATTTGAAATTTTCCCGCCAATTGGATCTTAATTGGATTTTGTATTGTTTGTGGAACGTGGGTGGCGGGTAAATTGGGGAGGTGTCGTGCTGGCCCCCATAAAGGAAGAAGATGGAGGAAGACTAATAAAAGGAAAAAGAAATTTTGGTAATCCAACCTAAGAAAAAAGAGAGAGTAGTTTTCGTTAAAATTATATCCAATTATATTATATTAATTATTTGATAAAAGTGAGTTTTTATCATTAGAAATGTTATTTCTATCAAATGCTCTCTATTTTATAATTTAATATAATTTATATAATAAAATAAAATTTTTATACTATTTTATATCTTTGATTTTATTGAATGTAAGATAATTATTTGTTTTGTTATTATTAAAATAAAATAGATAATGCACCTGACCTTTCGGGTCAACTGACAGCTTGATAATTTGATATGCATTCTCCTTTCCCATGAACGGATTTTGAGTCTGCCTCTTCACAACTTGTTCAAAAAATAATAATAATAATAAATAAAATAAAATAGATAGCAATTATTTTACAATAAATTTTTTAATTTATACTTTAAAAATACATGTTATAAATTTCTTTAAAATAATTATTATTAATCATTCAATATCAACTATTAATTAACAAACCTTACCTAAACAACTAATCTATACACTAAAATACATAAACCAATCAGCAACATGGGGAGCAGGCGAAGAATGAATCCTGGGGCTGGCTCGTGGCGCACTTAATTTTGCCTGGATGAATATAGGTGGACCTGATCAGGTAGCATGCACTCCAAATCTCGCTCATATGCTATGAATCAAATTTAGGGGCAATTGCACCTCCCCATGTGGTTGGTTAGGACGAATGCACTTAACACTTAAATCATAAAAAAATGATATGTGTACATAAAAAATTGAGTTTAAATTACATTATATATGGATTAAGAGATAAAAAGAGTAATCAATATAATACCAAAATATGTTTAATGTACATATATATATTTATATTAAATGTGCGATTTAGAAATATGCTCCTCAAACTTTTTATAATTTAAAAATGTACATTTAATCTCTTTTGAATTTATAAATAGTGAAAGTGAAATTTTAAAAACATTTTGTGGTCCAATGTACATTTCCCAAATATTAAGAGGTCAATGGTACATTTTTTAAACCATATAAGAGGCCACTTAATAAAAAAATTAAGAGGTAAAAAATACATTTTCATGATTATGTAAGTTAAGTGTATATTTTTAAATCAAATAAAGGTCAAGCACACATTTTTATTATTTAGAGAGTTAAAAACATATTACGAGTTGCTTTATGATCAACTATTTATTTATAAAATACGTGAATCAATATGTTTTTAATTTTTTTATGTAAAAATCGTTGTATCTAAAGACATTTTATGTATAAATATAATATTGCCGAAAACAAAATTAACATAATTAAATTTAGTTTTAATAATCTTGTGGCATGTTATAACATTTCTATAGTGATACAGGAGTTGGAAATCCTTGGAGTGATGAATATTTACCCCCAACGTGATATGAGTTTGGTATCAAAGCTTTTAAGTATTTTTTATGGTTGCTTCTCGTGGACACCAAGTCTAGTTAGAAGATTTGCAAAGGCAAATTGCATCTATCCAATGACACCTCAAAACACCTTGAGTCTCAAAAAATTCAAGAAAAAGAATCCAAGATTTCAAGCAAAGTAAATAAAACGCTCTGAAGAATATTTTTCAAGAATTACTGAAGCAATTTGAGTTATTCTCCACAAAGGATGTTAACTAGCAGAGACCACAATTTGATAAAACCCATTTTTAGTAAATTTTAAATGAATTACCGGATATATATATATGAGAAGTTTATTTTATAATTCAAACTGCAAAACAAAAATTTTTTAATAAAGAAGAATCCTAAATATTAAGAAGTTTAACTTTTATTAAATAATTAATATTTTACCATTTGAATTAGCATGGACGAATAAAATACTTATATATATAAAGATTTTTGACTTTTTATATTAAATTTTTATTAGGTTTTTCTTGTAGTCGAGGAAGAAGACAACACATATGGCTAGGTACAATTGAATTACAATGATTACTTCTATTGTTAACTACATAATTGAGGGTAGAGTCCATAATTAAATCTTTTGACCCTAAAAACTTGAATATCATATAAGACTTCTTAAATAATTTAAATTCACACAATCATATCCTCTTACTTATTATCTTATTATCTGTTATTAGTATTATAAGTTTAGTTTTATCTTGTCATGCACAATTCATGGAGATTTTTATGTACATAATCCTCTTTCTTTTTGGTGTGGTGGGCAGTACAATCATGCATTGATAAGTCTAAAACTCTTAGGCCTACAAACAAAGATCTTCTACCATCTTTGGCTTCACTTTTGGTGGTGGATCATTAAAGCATGGTATTTACATAACAGTTAGTTTCATGGAAATAAATGCAGGATCTAGCAGTGTCAATTTCTGTGAAGTAATTCACGGCATTTGGTTATCAAGTTTCTATGAGGATCACGCCGAGTTGCA